TATTGTATTTATCTATTTTATACTAATTGATTTATTCATTTTTATAATTTGATCGCCAATTTTGAGGATCATTACTATAGAATTAAAAAAGTGTTTTCTTCAATATTAATTTTCTTGAATACTCTGTTTTAATGTGAATTTTATAATTTTATGTTACAGAATCAATGCAGTTAAACTCCGCTGCTGCGCATCGAGTCGGTGAGTCGGAAACTTTTTTATTGAGGCAACGAACATATGTATAACATTTCGTAGATCGTAGATTGTAGATCGTAAATTAATATTGTAGATTCGTTGCCTTAAAGTAAAATATAAAGTAAAAATATGACGTGAGATTCTAATATATTTTGTAGAGAACACTAAAATTTTAACTTATTTTTATATAATATATTATTTGCTGTTATTAATTAATTATAATATGCAATTATAATATCTGTTGGAATTGTGAAAGAAGTTTCGTTTTTCTGGATCTCACATCATTTATTCTGTGTATGTGCAGGGTTGGGAAGTAGAAGTTACAGGTCCAGTCTCCTTGTTTTTTTTGGTAACTCTAACTTAACTTCGTTACTTTCTCTCCATCTGTAACTGTAACTTAACTCAGTTACAGTAAGGGTTATTTTATGTATATTTTAAACCTCTACAGATCGCATTAGGTCTTGCTTTTGCACATAAACGCTTTTATCGACACTTTACAATTCAAACACAGATTTAATATTTTTATTTTCATTGCAAAAGCGTAACTGCAAAGTAACGATTCGTTACCTTTTTAGTAACTGTAACTGTAACGCGTTACTTTTCAGAATTGGTAACTTTTGTAACTGTAATTAGTTACATTTTTAGCGAAAAAACTGTAACTGTAACTAGATACTTTTATACAGTAACTTCCCCTACCCTGCGTATGTACATACGTGATATATGTACTTTCAAGATGCGTCTCGCATAAATACATGCAGTCACACGCATCTTTGTATTTTCGCGGTCGGTTTTCGCGATCGGTTTTTCCAGAAAAATTTTCTAGAAATTATTAATTGTTTAATTTTATTCACATTATAAATTTTAATTTATCGTGAAATATGATTAAAATCATTCTAACGTGAAATAAATTTGTTTCTATATCTACTTGAATTTAAAATTCAAAGATCAAGTTACGAAGAGATAGAATATTTTTGAATAACGCAAGTAAAAATAAATTTGATTTGTACATACAGTAAAGTTTTTTGAATTAATATTCTTCTTTAATTAACTTCTCGTGGTCGTGCATTTTTCGATACGATCGACACTCGTATATTCGAACCATACGAAATATTTGTCGGTGACGATAACCGACTATGGAAGGAGTTTTTTCCTTCCTGATCTCTGGTTAAAATGACCAGATTGTATGGCCAGAAACAACGAAAGGTATGTCCAATCTGGCCCAACGAGGGAACACTAAATACGACGAGGTTAAGTGGTCAATATTGGCCATATTCTGATGGAGTATGATTTCTTTTCATTTGCTACAATTCGGGTGGGTTATACTTCTATATACATATATTTTCGCATATGTGCGAGAGTGAAACCCCTATTAAATCCCGCGAACGCGTTAAACTCCAAATCAACCCCCTAGAAAATCGCGTCGCGGTTAATTAAAGATTTGTAGGTTCATTATGTTGAAACACGGGTAGGTAGAAAATGGATAGGTAGATCTACAGATTAGAATACGGATAGGTAGAGATTCGGATAGGCAGGGACAGGGGGCATAATTCGATAGTTAAAAAAATAGGTAACATAAATTAACGAAGTAACAATAACTTTATTATAATAAGTACATGAAAAGAATTTCGTATTATTGTACGCACATTGAATATTTCATATGTATCGTCAAGAGAAATATTGTAGGTATTGTACAGGTATTATATTTTTAATTTTATCATGTAATTATTTCTTTTATAATATTGTATGCATTGTAAAGTAAATTATAAGAAAAATGAAATAAACAATAAAAATGTAAAAACCAAATTGTAAAGAAAAGAGGACCGTCGATTAAACGCGGCGGGGGTGGTGGAGGGCCTCTATATAGGTCGATTTGTTTCAATCGAATAAAATTTTCGTTCAATTTGATTCACATAGTCTTTCAATCGATAGATTTTTGTTTGCAATGGATCGATAAATTTGCCTTTACAATTTGATTTTTCGTTTGCACATTAATAAAAAATGTTATACAATAAGCACAGCCATATGTGTAACACGTTGTTTGTACTGTGTAACATTTTCTATTAATGTTTTACACTGTAAGAGTTAGGTATGTATTATTGTAAGCGCATGTCACATGTTCATATGTAATTTTATGTTATAATGGAAAATTGTACATATTTTTATTGTATATCATGATTTTAGTTTCACTATGTAACTTTCTCTCTCTCTCTCTCTCTCTTTTTATATTTTTATACATATTTCAAAATAAGTTGTAAAAAATTAATTAAATTATAAAAATGTAAAAACGCAATTTTATTGCAAACAGAAGAGGACCGCCGATAAGAATTCGGGGTGGTGGAGGGCCTCTACAAGTTGATCTGTTTTTATCGGTTAAAAATTTAATTCAAATCTAAAAAAGAGGCATTATTTCATTTATAACCAGAAAATGTAAAGTTATAATAAAATATATAGACAACCAAGTTCATCGAAAACAATCTACAAATTTTGTTGGCAAAAGGAGTACGACGTAGCTTGTCAACTTGTCAAATTTTTATATTTAGCAGTTGTACATACATATAATTAAAAATGTCCGGATCACTCGCAAAACTTTTTAATCGCGCTTCATAATTCGCTATGCAAAATACAAACGATTCTACATAAAAACTTTGTTTAATTGTTCTATTCAGACTAAGTGTCGGGTGGTAAAATAATTAATTACAAATAATAAACGAATGACTCACCATTCTTTTCAATCTTCATACGAGATGCAAACGATATTGCATACAGTAGTTATTTAAAAATACGCTAATTTCCGGTCAAGTGTGAGCGAATAGTTGATTGGCTGCACGTTCCTTGGAACTAGAACTTGGACTAATGGCTCTTGCCCACTGGGCCTAAATTCCGTACACGATTACCGACGATCATCGATACGTTAACGACGTTTGCGCAGCTTTTTCTACATGATAGAAAAGCTGCGCAAACGTCGTTAACGTATCGATGGTCGTCGGTAATCGTGTACGGAATTTAGGCCCTGGACGCGGTAACGTTACCGCGTCCAATTGGCAGGAGCCATTAAGGCGGGCGCGCATGGGCCGACGCAGAGGGCGCGCGGAATTCGCACGGTATCGG